TTTGTACCAGACATTGAAAACATTCAGTCTTCTTGGTTTTCAGTTAGTAATGTGCATGAAAGGCTTAATGGGGAAGTTTGGAGATACAGCTAAATCTCTGTGTGCAGTGGGTTTTCTTGCTATTGGTGAGATTATGAGGAAATAGTAACTCTTTGAGGAAATTTAAAGAATTACCTTAGAATTTTCTTAATGGAGTGGAATTCTGTTCATAGGTCTCTTTAAAGATAAAGATTATCTACTTTAATGTCTTTGTATATTGCATTTTGGAGGAATACCTTTATTAACTAGAATTGGAATTTAATTTGTTTTATATTTAATTTAATTTAATTTGTTTTATGTTGGAGTAGCGTGCTAAAGTACAAATCGTTTCACGGCTGAATTGGAATTAAATGGCGGATCTTGAACCTTGGGGAATAGACACCATGGCAGGGGCTTCTTGGCCAGTTCCAGTCTTCTGTGAGTGTGTGGACACCTAGAGCTTCTGAAGTGCAGGGAGCTGCAGCTGGTCACAGAACCATCCCATTTGTGGTTTTAGAACAAAGTGCCAGGGAATTTTGCTCCTGTAGCGTGATACTGACAGCCTATAAGGAACCTGTGAGAGTGGTAGACCCATGAGGCTGCAGGTGAAATTCGTATTTCCCACACCTCACTGTGATGAAGAGACAAACAAAAAAGGCCTTCTTCCGCATGGGGTGTGTGTCTCTGTGTGTATTATTTCCCAGTGTACTTTAGTATTTTCACTCTAGTTTGTAAATTTTCCTTGTGTATACATTTCTTGTGGTAAGACTGAATGGTTTGCTTCTGAGGTAAAATGTTGGTATATTAGGTTAAACCTATTTGATTGTTAATTATTATTTGTAGTCAAAAGACTTTGACTATAGCTAATGTTGAAGCTCCTTTTCCAAGAGCTCTGTGCTCTGAGGAAGTTGAAACATGTTCTGAGGCTGTTTTTCTGTCCTTATCTTCCCTTTTCCAAGAGGCCCTGTGCGTCTGTCTGTGCAGATCCTTTATGAAGTTATCACTGAGCTGTCCACACTGTGCCACCCCCGCCCCCGCCCCAGCTCCAACTGTAGCTGGATGTGATCTCTCCTAAACTCAGAGTTCCTGAGATACTTGTAATTTCCTGCTGCACGTTAGTTATTTGTAAATGTCCCTGGGGCCTGCAGGAGCCATATGTCACATCTTTGTATCGACCACAGTACTCAGTGTCTGGTGCAGAGCAGGGCGTAGATGTTTGAAAGATTGAATTTTGTTAACTATCTTCCAAAAGTGGGGAAGGTTATACCAAATTTATATTACTGTGCCCTCTTGATCCTCTTGGAGGACTGAAGGGCTGCAGAACATTTTTCCTGAAGATCTAAAATCATAGCATGTGTGAGCTATTCCATATACCTCCCAAGAGGGACACCCTTGCAGAGCAGCTCGCTTTACTTGTGATGTAAGGAGGGCATCCAGAAGAGGCACGTATGAACCAAGCAGAACAGCATAAAATAGGCCACTATTTCAAAAGAGGGAAAACGACACCAAAGGGAGTAATTCTGTTCTGACACAGACGCAGTGCTTTGGGAGACAAATGAAGATTTCAGTAAAAATGAAAATCTCAAGATTTTCACACAAGGGCAAGTGTTCAGTTAATTGTGTATTCAGTAATATTTCCTTTCCTCTCACCCCAACTCCCCTCCCCCGGTCAACACAAATGGAATTGTATGTGGTGTGCAGTACTGGATCAAAAAGAAAGACTAAAAATTAGGGGCTTTGATTTCTTACGTAGACAGATATTTAGAGTTAATATATTTTAAAAATACTGAACAGATAATTTTTGACACCTGACATAGCCTTGTCAACGTGTAATAGCTGAATTTCTGAAGATTCAAAAGTATGAGAGGGTTATTAAAACTAACCAGAATTTTTCCTTCTTGGCAGGGTAATGTTTGAAAGTACTCCTTCAAATGGAGAAATATGAAATGTGAGTCAATTGATTTGTCTAGAAAATGGACTTCTAGTTCAGATTTTAAACACCTATAATAAATAGCCATTTTAATTAAAATTAATAAAAATAAAGCTTTTGTTTGTGGGCTTAAATTGATAGTGAATTATTTTCAGAGGCAGTTGTGATTATAAACAGGAAGATCTTTTATTGACTAGCCTTGTAAACTTTTGGACACAAAATTTCAATGTTGTAAAGATTAGATAACAAGAAGAATTTTTTAAATTTAAAAACAGTATTTTGCAATTTTAGTAAAAAGAAACCTTTTAGTGCATGGTCTGAAAACAAAAGTCTCTTTCTTAATAAGCTGG